GGGGGGGGGGGGCAAAGGAGGTCCGCATTAATTGCTGCAGCCCAATGTTCTAGTCTAAAACAGTGAAGCCTCTCTGCAGTCCCTACATGCTGGGAGGTGCCCAACCCAGGGATCTGACACTACACCGTGCACCATTCTAGGAACATTTCTGTCCTGTCCCTCCTCCAGTGGCTCATCTCATTTTCTGAAGCATAAAGCCAAGAATGGTCTTTCAAGGGAAAAGTTGTTCTGATTCCCCTTATTTCAATCAAGTTTCCCCACACCTTTCCAGCAGGGAATTGTTGAGGCAGGGTGACCAGAATGGAAGAGTTCAAATGGAAGATGCACCCTAGCCAACAATGGTGGTTTGGCCTGCTCCTTCCCCTCTCTTCTCATAGCCACTGCATGTCCAGGAGACGTTTTCACTGAATCTCTGCCACTGACCCAAAGTTCATTTTGTTCATTTTCTTTCCACAGGACTTTGGGTGAGGAAGCACTCAGTGGCACCATGCCTAGAGCTTTTTCCTTGTAGCAATAATACCTGTTGCAGGAGGAGGACCAAAATGGCACACTCTGGAGGAGGTGACTGCCCCCTGCTTAAAATCCCTTGGGTGTTCTCGCTGTTTAGGGCCACAAAAGCCATGTAAAACAACGTAGAGCTCAACTTCCTAAAATACCCATTACAGTAAAATAAATTCTTTAAAATTACTACCGTAAACATGACATTTATGGTTATTAATAGACATTTTTCTATTAACAGATACTGTGTGCGCCAAAATGGAAACAAGGGCACTACCTTTCCTAGCATACACAATTTATGGTCATAATAAGGAGTTATTACCAGAACATCATGTGGCTATTTTGGGACTCATGACTTCCAGTTAGTGTTACTGTGACAACTGGTGTTTCACCTTTCCCAGACAAAGGGGGGGGGGGAAATTAGGAGACACACACAGAGCACAAAATCCCATTTGCGAGGGATGAAATGGCCCTTTCTTCAGCTCAGCCAGGCCTCCTGATGCTACACATTCACATGACGTCCAACCAGGGTTACCACGATAGAATAGCTATAGGTGGCCCCAAAATCTTTTCCCTCCTACCCAAACTATCCAAGCTAGTAAGACCCCAACGTGCCCTGAGAGAAGGCAATCAGTCAAACACGGAGAGTTTGGCATTTTGGAAGCACAGAACTTGAAAGCAGGAGAAACAAAAACAATGAAAGAGATCCTATTTACTGCTGTGCTTTAATTCTGATTTTCCCCTGGAAGCTGTACACACACAGTTGAGAACATGGTCCAGTTCTCTCTTGGTGGATACTCACTCAGATCTAGGACATCGTCTGTTTTAATTAAGTCTTCCTCCCTTGTCAGAGGCAATTGAGTCTCTGGCTCATCCTGAAGATGCAATGATAGAGAACGCAGCATGAAGAACACTCTGATGGCCTGAAGATACAAATGACAACAGCAAAGAGGTTCAACTAGGACACACAATTAAAAGAAAAAGAAAAGATAATGTGTCTTAAAGCAGCTGCATTCAATACTCTCTAAAAAAAAAAAAGAAGAAAAGAGAAAAGGCCAGACTCTTCATTTCCAGCCAATTCATTTTTTCTATATCTGTTTTGTTTTTTGTTTTTTACTGTTTTGAGTAGCCTGCAACACACAGGAGCAATTCAGGAAAGATATGGCAACATTGTCAAAATTAGGAACAACTAAAAATCCAGCCCATATCTCTTTGGTTTAAGGACTGCAGCTTTCTTTAATAATTTTCCCCGTGGTGGATGAAAAGAACCAGCCACTAAAAGGCTTTACACAAGCATTCCCCAACCTCTAGCTAGCATGTCAAAAGAGCTGAATTTAAAGGCTAGGCTGGCTGGGAATTATGTGAGTTGTGTTCCAACATGTCAGAAGCATGGCAGGGTGGGGAAAGGCACTTTACACTGCATTTGTCATGCCCATTTTTTTAGAATACAAAAATACGGAAATCCAGGAAAAAACCCTGCCAACGGCTGCCATCGCTTTTCACCTTATTGTATGATCTAACAGAGGAAGACCAATGGAAGAGGAAAAAAAAAAAGCTGTAGGTTTACTGTGGGTCTGTTTGGCAAATCATTAACTTCCAGTGTCATTATGGATTTGCTGCTAGTAAAAAATAACCATTCCTTATCAGCAAAGTGATCATCCAAATGTGTTTTGTAATATGGGTTTTTGAAAAGAAAAATGAAAAGACTGGTCATCTGAAGTTGTGAATTATCTTTTCTGGACCCAGTTAAGGCTTCTGGGAGGATGAGAAGAAGGATCAGTAAGAAAGGTGGAAGGTCCGCGGCTGTTCTAGGCGACCTGATATTGCCCTTGAATGTTCCAGAGGAAGCCTCACCCAGAAACTGTTAAGAGCTGGAGCAGTGTCTCTCTGTATGCACATGCACATCTGGAAACATCTGTGCAGGTGTGAAAGAGAGATCAAGAGATCAAGATGCTAGGCAGCTGCACATGGCTTTTTCAAACACAGCCCTCGATGGGATCTTAAAAACGGAGGAAAGAGTGACATTCCTTTAGGTCCCTAAATGAAGTCGCTGAAGTCTTCTGAGATGAGCGTCCTGAATGGGTCCCAAATCAAACTGGTAACCAGTGCAACCGTTAAGAACTGGCAGTGTGCATTTTCCCCTGCTGCTGGACTGGCAGCTTCTTCTTTTAGCAGTTCTCATCTCTGAGACCTTTGCAAAGGCAGCCCCAATATACAGCCAACAGCAACAATCACGCCAAAATAATTAGGTTCACACAATTCACTAGAGCAGGCTGGCGCTTTAGGGTTTAGCATGCTGTTCTGATTGATACAATATGCTAAAACAGGAGGAGTTATTTGTCTGGGCAAGGGACGCAACATGGACCCAGCAATTATATTTTATTAACTCAAGGATTTGGTGGGTTTTGTGAATCCAGCCAGAAAATGTCACTTGGGTCATTTTTAGGTGTGCTGGCAAAAAGCAACGCTGCACAGCTCAACAAGAGTCTGCGAGGGGATGTGGTTTGTGGCTTCCTACAGACAAAAGAGATCATTTTTAATGTACTCTTATTTACATGCGTTAGAATGCAACCTTTGTCTGAAAGGACAAAATCTGGGCATGAAGATGATCACCACCCTGTGTTTCTGGAGAGAAGATCTAAAATGTCTGTTTCTAAACAGCAGAAACTCTTGCTTCAACCGTTGTTGAAAATAAGACACTAGTTTTTTTTTTTTTTAATGTTCAAGGCTGAATGATCCAAGGTTCATTACAAATGCATTTATAGCTTTTCTTCACGCCCCCAGCTATTCAGAAACCCCATAAAAAAGGAATATGTTTTGTTCTAGGAAAAAGGCTTTCACAGAAGTCTGGTTATATGTGAAAAAACAAGATAAGAGATAAT